GAAACTGTAGATACCCTCTTCAAATTTAAGAATAACAGACAGTACCTACTGATCACGATTTTAAAGAAGTAGCTACATGTTTTGTATTGAAGCTTTATGATATACATACAGTATTTAAATTGGAAAATTTTCTCTCTGCCCACCTTCATATTATTAGAGTAGAGCAGTAATCATTAGAGATATCACAAAGGTTGAAAAAAAATTTTTGGTTAATATTGCCTATACAATATAAAATGATTCCTTGCAATTTATCATTTATTACAATATAGTGCTAATGAATTATTAGTATTTATCAGTTACACATATGATGGAAGAGGAACGATTGATACAACAAATGTATTTTCGGTTTGCTGTTCCTTTTTGAAATAACGTCGAATATCAATGAATATTTACCACATTTCCTCTAGAGGCTGCGTTTGGGATTGATGAGGGATATCATCAACTTAAGTAAACTGCGGATCTTAGAATCATTTGCTTGATCCCCAATTTTTACTTAATTTTAATATAAACGTCTTATTTCACATCCCATTTGGTTAACCTAAGTAAATACATTTTAGGAAAACAGTTCATGCGAGAAATTAGACTAAAAACAGACCGCGCGGAAGTGGAGGACAAAAGCTGAGGGCGTATTTGGAAGTATTGTTTTTCTGCCTGGTGAATTTGATTACCGTCAATTTGGCATGCGAGAGACACTGACATGCTGCTTTCTTTTTAATATACGTATTTCAATCTTTAACATAAATACCAGTTATTTAAATTTATTCGAGTTACAGTTAAAATAACTCATGCGTTTGTGGAAGTCTTTGAAGGGTCATACAAAACGGAATATAATTTCATGGATGCGGTAAAATTTAATTTACTTCGCTACCCAAATAGTACAAATGTCATTCGTTGTTTATTCAAATTCTACAAGAGTTCATGGCAAAGTAGTGGAATCAACTATTTTGTATCAGTATTGAATCAGTATCTAGTAGTTGAACTATCTCACATAGTCATTGAGGATGTCACAAAAGCTTGCAAAACTAATAAAATCAATGACGATAACATGATATTCAGTTTTATGAGGTTATAGAATATACAACATTTGCAATACAGACGCAAAAACACTATTAGTATACATGGTGGTCCGAATTTTATGCAGGAAACTTCGAGGGTAGATAGATCTCTTTAAAATAATAGGTGTTTGCCTTATAAACGTTGGTCTGGAACGGTCTCGTTTTAGAGATACAGGGTGTTGAAGTTGTTAAAAAAATTGATTTTTTGCTTATATCTCCGGAATCTATTAACCGATTTCAATAAAATTTAGTACAGATAATGTATGATAGTAGGTCTTGTATTTCCTAAAATATGAGCTCTAAAGATTCAACTCGTGGTGTACAACTGGACAAGGTCACCCCCTTTTTGATAAAAAAAACCTACGCCACTGTCTTTTTTTACACGCTATTGTAACGGATTTATATTCTATTACACAAAATACGTAAAAACGGTAAATTGAATTTTTTCCCTAATGTTCACCGTTCTCGAGTTATTCATACTAGCACAATCCCCTTGTAGCAGACACTTCTACAGTTCTAACCATAATATTATAAGAATATTTATGTTTATGCTTAAAAATAAGTGCAATTTGTAAGCATATCAACAAAATTCTTTACACTCGTCGCTTTCATCTTTTTGGATTAAAACGATATTTGGAAAATCACGACGGAGTAATGAAAGGCACAAAAATGAAATTTTAAGAGTATTTGACGACGATGTTTGTCTCGGCAACTTGAAGTGAGTAAATCGAAAATTTGAAAAGTTCTACATAAGCATGGTAAAAATTCGTACCTGTGCAAAATTTACTTCCGGGAGCTGCAGAGAGGCGCCTGAATTTTTAGCAGAATTTCTTACTAGAAATACTTTGGACCGATGAGGCTTCGTTCTCAAAGCGAGGGGTAGTGAATTTTCACAATTTGCATGTTTGGTCACAAGAAAATCCTCATGAAATTCGGACAAAATCTTTTCAACACGAATTTTCTGTGAAAGTATGGCTCGGAATAATTCGCAATAAAGTATGTGGACCTTTCTTTTTGCCACACCATTTAAATTTAAATTCCCAGCCATATCTAAACTTTCTAGAAAACTATCTCTATTTGAATTATTAGAGGATGTTCCATACGACAAAAAACTGGATGGAGAATAATACAAGAATGGCTTAATGAAAATTATATGGGGTGATGGATAGGCAGAATACCAAATACCAATGTCAACCATAATATTGGAGAGGGTCCAGTGTCTCGGCCAGCCAGATCGCCAGATCTAAACCCCATGGATGTTTGGGGTTACCTATCTGAAAAGTAAAGTTTACTCCAATAGATACTAGACTACAACTACTGTAGCGAATAGAACGCAGGTGTAATGAATTAAAAGAAAACCACCACATGTTATTCGCTTCAATTAGTTCCATTAATAGAAGATGTCAGAAATGTATGGATGTGGGTGGTTCGCATTTTGAACAATTGCTCTAAATACGTAACGTTAATTTTTTTTCTTGTTTAGTTGTTGTTGCTTGGTAAATGTATTTTTATTATTATTTTGATACATTATTCTTATTTGTAAAGATTAGGCCTCCAGGGAAAACTAAAATACACCAGGAACACTACCTCACAGGTGATATGGAAAGAATATTGTTGATGTGCTTACAAATTTAACTTACTTTTAAGCATAAACATAAATATGCTTGTAACATTATGGTTTGAAGTGTCTACCATACGAGGATTGTATTGGTATAAATAACTTGAAAATGGTGAATCTTAGGAGAAAAATTCAAGTTAACTTTTTTACGTAGTTAGTGCATTAGAATATAATTCCGTTACAATAACTTGTAAAAAATACAATGGCGCAGGTTTTTTTTTTATAAAAAGGGGGTGGCCCCTGTCCAGTTGTACACCACTTGTTCAACCTTTAGGGCTCATATTTTAGGAAACACAAGGTCTACTATCATACATTATATGTACCAAATTTTATTGAGATCGGTTAATAGATTCCAGAGATACAAATAAAAAATGATTTTTTTTTAACAACTTCAACACCCTGTATCTCTAAAACGAGGCCGTTGCAGAACTATGTTTATAAGGCAAACTCCTATTATTTTAAAAAGATCTATTTGTCCTCGAAGTTTCCTGCATAAAATTCGGACCACCCTGTATAATAAGGGCTTAATAAGTCATTTAAGTCTTAAATATCTAAAAAAAATATTAGTTGTTAATGTCGCAATTGTAGATATAATTTACATACTAATCGATAGGAACATAATAATAAATGTTCAAATTATAGAGATTTCTAGTAACAGAATAATTTAGAATTAGGCAATAATAATTGTTAAATTAATTAAAAATTCTGTCTATCATTAGTTTTACTTATTAAAGTTTAGACAGTTAGTATTTAGTCAAGTAAAAGAAGTTACAAAAAAGTAGACTCAAATCCTTTAACCTTTTGAATGGAGTGGTAAAGTACAAAATAAAATCAAGATGTAATTTTGAATCTGACGTGAAATTGAAATAATGAATCGTAAGTATAATATATTTCGTAATTTTTTATATTCAGTCAGCAGCTAATAACCAATTGATATTTCTTTATATCAATCCTTATCCTGAGTTGTATTTTCTTTTGAAATTTATTCACTTTTATAATGTTGGAGATCAAAGAAAACAAAACTTGGGTCTTTTTTTTGTTCACTTGATAGATCAGCATGGAAATGGCAAATGGCAGATAGCCATTATGTTTATAGAAAAAAAGGGCCAATACAAAATAAATTGTGTACAATAAAAATTTAATTTATAAAAATATTTTCCTAGAATAATTTGCTTCTAATAGAAATAAAATAATTGTCAAGACTCAAGAACTGGAGAAAATATGGGCATTAATATATTATTTTATTATAGAGCATTTAACCATATCTACTTGCTTAATTTGGAAAAAATAGTCAATGGCATCCGAAGCGTTTCAGAAAAATATATTTGATGTAACAGGTATTTAGAAAGACTTTTTCCAATAAAAGTTTTTGTGCCTTTTGAGATTTTTTAGCATACATTCACGAATAAAAATCCATAAATTATAACAACATTGTTCGCAACGTAACATATTAGTATCAATATAATTTAAAGTTAATGTACAAAATCATGCATCACTTTTATTACATCTTCTATAACAAAGCATCTCTATTTTTGAGAAATTATTACAAAACTATTTTTTTTATCTACACATTGTTTTTCACAAGAACTACTAACTTTCTTAATTTTTATATCTGTTAACAGATTTTACGAACTTCTTTTGGTTGATAGAAGTGATAAAAATATATTGGAAATATGCCCTGGTCATTTTATACTCGCAATTTAATGTTAGGTAACCTCTGACAATTTTTTGGTGAAATGGGTATTTCTTGAGAGAAAAGTTGAAGCAAACTCTTACTCATGGCATCCCTGTACAAATTTACACGTTTCTAGCATACCTATAGTTTTTTAAAAGTTTGTAGGTGTTATCTGAGCAGTATTTGTATGATTGAGTTCGTTAAAATCGTATATAAAAGTTGAGAATGTCTAGTCATTAAATAAGACACCCTGTATGGTGTCCTATTTAATTTTTGTTTAGTCTCACAAAGCACAGAATCTTCCACTGGAATTAAGGTATTAAAATCTGCATCACAGGCAGTATCTCTGCTGCATAAATAACCTTTTTTAACAGATGAAATCCTTCGGACGTCTGATTCCGACGCTACTGGTTAATTTTTGTACATATCTGTTACTACTATGAAGGAATAGCACTGCAGCTTTGAAGTCTATAACTTTGAAGAATCATATGATTCTCAGAAATCATTTTAGAAAAAAAAAACAACACTGTATGTTCTTACGAGAAGAATCAATCTTGAAAAATCGCGAAAGATCGCTATTTATTCGAACTCAGAAAACTGAAATTGCAAATTACGTTAACATCCTTAAAATAATTTATGATTTTATAATTACCTTGAATTCGATGGAGACACGGTGCTACCATCACCATCAACACCCAGCTGGTTGATGGCACTGGCATCAGCACTATAATCAGCTGCAGCATCGTTATTGTAAGGGTCCGTATCCTTAAATTCGAAGTCTTCCAGTTGATTATATTGATTGTTGTTGTTAATTCCAGCGGAAGCTCCAGAAACGCCCGAAAATGTGGATAATCCCTTTCCAACAAGTTTGCCTAAGCCTCCTAAGATGGACGGGAGAAACATTGCTATTAACACACTTTTTATTAGCTGCGCTCCGATGAACACCGGTAGTAAGAGCTTTTTTAGAGCAAAAGCTAGGAAGCCCATCCCGAATCCAGTCAAGAAGGAGCTCTTGCCGCCATCTCCTATAAAGTTAAATTAATGTTAAATGAATTTTTTATTTTGTACATTGAAAGATGAAAAGATTTGTCTTCCACGACTTTGCCTTTAAGAAAAAGAGGGTAAAGGCGTATAATCGATATTTATTATACAGTGGTGGAGACTATTTAATGATAACTAAAAAAGTTTCAACGAAAATTATTCGTTTATGATTTTTTATGGCATGGTAAAGTAATAGCTCGTTTATCCAAGTATTATAGTTTTAATAAAAATAAATAATTAGTTTTGTTTAATATAGTATTAAAGAAGTTTAGAAATCTTTTCAGAAGATGCAACATTTTTCTTCAACCAGACAAAATATTTGATTGGAGGTTGCACCTACCGCGTAATTACGATACGTAATTTACGACCACAAATAAATACGATTTATGAAAAAAAAATCAATAAAAAATATCTAGTTTTCGAGTTACAAGCCTTCAACATTGTCAAAAATAAAACTAATTTAATTAATAACTTCATAACCCTTTCACCTATCGCGTTAAAATTTGGGACATTTATTTGGACTATTATGGCGTATTATTTCTTAAAACTTTAGTCAAATCGGTATACTGGGTTATAGTTTTCTCCGGTTACCTCTCCCTTTTAGCTGTCAAAACTTTACAGTGGTCGTATTTTTTTAAAACGGGTAGTAACATTGAAAAAGTCGTTTTATTTAAAAAAAAATATTGTCTGTTGAGAAAATCGAATACGGAAAGCCATTCTTGGGAAAAATTGCATTATTTGCAAGTCTGTATGTTTCGATTTGCGCAGCAGTGTCACGGATCTAAAACTTTGAGTTCAGTAGGCGACGAAAACAAGATGTTGATTGCTGTGGCTATCAGGTAATGTCATTATTGTTATATTTCTTTAGGATTCTCATCAGTCCACACATGCAAACTATGAAAATTTACAACTCCGTTCCTTGTAAAACAATTTTCGTCAGTACAAAACAATTTTAAGAGAACTATTATCTTCTGCGAAGCCATTTACCAACCAGCGGCAAAAGTGTAAACGTGCGTTGGGATCTAAACTTTCAAGTTCTTGAGCAGGAGTTAAATGAAATGGCCGAAGAAGTTGCTTTTTAAAGTTTTGTGAACATTAGTTTTACACACATCTAATTGTCTTGATACACTGCGGACACTTCATAATTTGCATGTGTGTAGTGATGAGAATCCTAAAGAAACACAGCAATAATGATATTACCTGATAGCTACAGCAATCAATATCTTGTTTTCAACGCCTACTGAACTCAAAATTTTAAATCCGTGACTCTGCTACGCAAACCGAAACGTACAGACCTACAATTAATACCATTTTTCTCAAGAATGGCTTTCTGTAGTCGATTTTCTCATGAGACAATATTTTCTTTAAATAAAACGACCTTTTCAATGTTGCTGCCCATTTTAAAAAAATACAACCCCTGTAAAATTTTTGACCACTAAAAGGGGGCTATCACCCAGTATATCGATTTGACTAAAGCTTTAAGAAATAATATGCCATAATAGACCAAATAAATGTGCTAAATTTTAACGCGATCGGTAAAAGGATGTGAAGTTATTAATTAAATTAGTTTTGTTTTTGACAACCTTGAAGGCCTGTAACTCAAAAACTTAAAACTTTTTATTTAACATTTTTTTTGTAGATCGTATTTATTTAACGTCGTGAATATACAGTTAAACGTTGTCGGTGAAATTTGCGGACACCCTGTATATAATTCAAAATTTTTCAATTTGATATAGTTACAACTTCATACAGCTTCGTTTTTCATATGTATTTCAGGAAGCATTAACTATATTGATATCAGTTAATCAGTTGTATTAGTTTTAATTTAAAATATGATTGTTGCAGTCAGGGACAGAAATCGAAACAATTCTGGTTACATAGGTATTTGTACTAAAAAAACTGACCCATTTTTACTTCAAATTGCCTTTTCAAAACAGTGGAATAAACTGCAAGGTTTTACATACCATAGGATAAAGACAAAAATAAAGTAAGAATATGTAATATATGAGGCTTTTTTCATCTTTAGTAACGAATAATTAGTTCATAGAATTACTGAAATAAGTTAATTGTCACTTTATGTCTTCTAATAAACACAAATAAAATAATTCAAGTTTTATTTGATAATTATATAGGGATAAAATTATCAAGAAATATTATTCACGATTCGTCATTTGTTTGATATTTAATTCAATTGATTTAAAATAGATAGCCACTGGCAAAAGTTAGTTTATGAATAAACGAAGATATTTTTCAAACCACTTATTGTGGTTTGGTTGATATACATACGTAGCTAGCTTGGTTCTGAATAGACGGACATGACCTATGACCTATGCTTTGTCTCTCATAAGCCAGGCATTTTTTAACATAATTTAAACGTATTTCCTAAAATTCCTTCCCTTAAACATGTAAAATATAGTTTATAGAAAATAAGCATGTATCTAGTTTTCAGTTTTCAATATTCAGTTGAAAAACTCGAAACATATTTGTATATATGTAGAGGGTCGTTCATTGTTTAAAAAACATTTGAATTTTGCATTTTGGAAATATTTATTAAACCTTTTTCTTTAATAGAACATGATATATATTTCTACATATTCGGATAGAACGCTTTTTCATGACTATCTATCATATACGTTCACGGGGTGATTCTATAAACTATTATTAATTTACAATATTTACATACATTACATTTCTAATAACGGTTACTAACGTAAAAAATCACAAAAAGTTAAAGCATGCTTCCAGCCTTATTCAATAGGTATAACATTAATAAGAACTTTTTTATTATTATTAAAACTATTTTTAATACAATTTTTAAATAATATGTATATGCAATATCTAAATTTTAAACACATCTTTCAAATAACTGTTGACGTTTTGGGATAAGAAAACCCACTTTTTTGTGTTTTTCTTCAAATTTCTCAGTTTTTATCAATTTTACCACAAAACCAATAGTTAGCTGACACATTTTTAAGTTACTAACGATATACAGCGTGTCCCGCTATAATGTCCGGAAGAGGTCAACAAGATGGTCATCCATCTCATTATAAAATTATGGTTAGAGAATGGTTGGACCAACATTTTAAAGATCGATAAGACGATTAGGTCCTGTTCTATGGCCTCCTAGAAGTCCTGATCTGACAATAATAATTATTTGTGGGGCAATCTAAAACAAAAAGTTTATGCTGAACCGCTTGGTAATAATGTGGACACTAAAAAACAGAATAAGAGAAACAATTGCTAATATTGTTTATGTAAATTTTCATATTATTAGCAATTAATTGACTTAATAAAAATAAAATTAAAGAAATTGATTATTGCCTTTTTTACAAATATCAAATAAAGTGGTACGGTACATACAAATTAGCTGCTCGCATTGTTAAAAAAAATAATAATAAAATTTTAATCCCCTGTGGATCCTAAATGACATCCCTGATAATATTTTTCGATATTGTCAAAAATAACGGTACTTACTCTTGGCGACTAACAATACTTTTCTAAATACTGAACACCCTGTATAAAAAATGACAAATATTTTAACAGTCTTGACCGTTTTGGAACAAGTAGGAGTTTTTACAAATAATGACTTTTTGCCGTAAACCCACAAATAAAAACTTTTCCCTCTTCCGGACATTACAGCGGGACACGCTGTAGATTCAAGACAATTTTTTTTAATTTAAATATTTTTGGTCATTGTAATAGGTATTAATATATATGAGGGTGGAGTTTTTCTGGTTGAGCTGATCTTTGTTTTTAATAATTTTTTTCATAAATGTTCCCTTTGTGAGCTTAGAAATCATAATCCTCTACAAAATGATGTGACTCCCAAGGGTTACATTTTCAGGTTTCATCTTTCTTTTTTGTTGTATTGGTGCTTTAAATAGAGTACGTACAATTATATAATGTATGCCCGACATTATATAATTGTACGTACATCAACGTATAAACAATAACGTACGCTGTCGGTTCTGTTCTGAATCTTCATGACAATGAACTGAGAGTTTCAGCATAGCAGAAACATGGGCTTTTATAATTAAAAAGAATCAAAGAAAATGAAATCTCGTTGATACATCGTGATAAAAATAATGGCTTTTGAAGTAGCATTTTAAATTTTAATTTTTCAGAACTCAGTATGGTATAAATGTAGGCCGATTAAAATTCGATGATAGGCGTAATATACCTAACAGGGTCGAATTTAGGTAAATATTTACTAGGGTACAACCACTGTTTAGTACAATATTTCCTAAGAAACTGCATAATCATTATCTAGCGCAAACTTTAAACAGTTCGACATTAGTGATACTTATCTTCATCATGTGATTTACATCTACAGCATAGGTGATTGAAAACATAATCCACTTCATGCAACGCGAAGTGGAAGCAAATGAACCGATCAAAGCTCTGAAGAAATATAATAATCGTAAAATATCCTGAAAAGAACGAAAAACATTCAGGATGGTGAACAAGGCGGATTTGAAACGTCTAAAAAGAAACTTAAGAAAACAATTTGTTTGGATAACTTCGACATAGTGGTTCTTCATCAAAAAGTTCTTAATGTTTACACTACTGAATGAATTGTACAATGATGGGTAACTTAAAGTCCCTATCAGTTTGGTCGCTCTCATTCTATCGCACCCCACCACAAATAATTACGGAATGTTTCGGACTGGGAGTGGGGTGTGGAGATATACTACACCGTGGCACCAAAAACTCTGATAGTACAATAGGGTAATTAATAATTATTAGTCTGATACCAGTTGCATTTGATATTTTTGAAAATTATTATTTTAGTGATTTGTAATGTAACATTTCCTTGGTTAGTTAAATCAGAATATTGAAAAAATTTTTTAAAATAAAATGTTAAAAACCATTTACTCTTTTAACTATTGTTCACAACCTGCATATTTAATTTTTTTTCCTTTACTCGGGATATTCATTTATAAATATTGTCGTAAATTGAATACATACAGGGCGGGCTAAG